ATTACGTTTTAGACTTAAGTTAATACAAGTATAAGCTAAAGCTAATGAACGATTTTATTGTATATAGCACTGTTGCTTAATAATCTATAATTAGCACAGTGAAAAATAATATACATCATAATATAAAAGTAAACAAATTACGTATATATTATTTTCGTAAGGAAATATATAGGTATTTTTTCCTACTTAATCAGTTATAAATATAATAACACAACTACTGGGTTTCCTAAAACGGTGATTCTCAACCTTTTTTGTATGACGACACCTAATTTAGATCTATGGAATGGTGACACACTAATCCAGGCAGCCCATAGATACAATTAGATACAATTTTTGCACATTAATTATTTAAAAAATTTTGTATTATTTAATATTAGTACTTCACGTACACATTTGGACTTACTCGGCGATGCATTAGTGTGTCGCGACACAATGGTTGAGAATCACGGTCCTAAAGGAACCCTAGACAAAATTCTAGAGAGTATATTATGTACTGTACCTATATAGATACAATTTAATATTATTTTAAATAGTTTATTGTACACTGTACAATATATATTAATAAATATTATAATATACAATTAATTTATCAGAAAGTGGAATATTTTAACTTGTAGATATTTAATATTAAATAACACATGCTAATGAGCAGGTAGTACGTACCATTTTAAAGCTTATTTGTTATCAGTATTATCGATTATTGTTAGTCGCTTGTCAAAAAATATAATAAAAAATACCGTAGATTAATTTATTATTATTATTTTTTTTTTATTGATCTTATTAAGCTCAGTAACTAAGGCCATTAGTTATGGATAGAAACAGTAGGTTTTTTGTGTAAGGTTTGTTTGTAAAGTTTATTTAGTACGGTTGGAACACGTATGTGTATATGTGTGTGCCATGGATTCGACTAAGAACTCGGGTGGTCACCCATCCGAGGGCTGATGACGCCGGCTGATGTTTGATCTCAGAACACATTTGTGACTGAGGCCAACCACCGCGCTACACCAGGCCACAATTTACTTTTATGTACCTAACTATATGTTAATAATTAGTTTAATTCATTGTGTCTGGACATTTGCATTAATCAACAGACAGTAGCTCTAATCGATCTGTATAGGCAACAACAAAAATAGTAAATATCGATATGGACAATCGATCGACTGGGACAATCTATATTTTCTCGCCTTAATTTCTTTTTTATTAAAAAGAAAATGGTCAATTTTTCTCTAAATATTTATAGCAATTAATTATCGTGAATTAACGCGTGACTTGTTTTGGAATTTTTTTAGTATCTTAATATCATGTTTAAATTTAAAAGTAACGAAGGAGGTTATAATTAGAAATATTTTAATTAGCATGGAGTTATTAGAAAGTTCTACCGATCGAATGAATAAGACATTAGTAGGTAAATTGAAACATGATATTATTATCAATTTCATAATATACAATTTGACATAGTAAAAGATAAACATATAAAATTAGACTGTTCTGTTTACGAAATCAACATTTTTATGTCGATACATATATTACAAATACAAGAAGTATTAAGAACTTTGAAAATTTGTATTGTTGGTAAATTTTTTTCTGTCAGCCAGTTAAAAATAGGTATCATTTGGCATTACTTTATAATGAAATATGATTAATAACTTTTTAGTTTTATAAAAAAACTTTTGTTTTATACATGTCTATGAAAAATTGGGTCTTGCCCGTAAAATAAATACAAATATATTTTCATAATTATTATATTCCAATCATAAAAGTATGTTATTTACTTATTTATCTATATAAGTATAATTTGGTTTTGTATTATTATTAATTATGTTTTAGCATTTGATGTTAAAATATATTAAAAAAAAAAAATGGTATAAAAATGTTATGTCCATAAATAAATACTAGTTTCATCTTTCTCACAGTTCCGTTTCTGGATGATAAATGTAAAACGTGGTAATGTGATATATGTGATTATCAAGTAGATATGTTTTTGCTATTCTCATACATGAGTGGATGGCTATATGATATAAACGCCAAAGGCGCAAAAATGACGTATCATTTGCATTAAAATTTGTTGGACATAAGTACCAATCTAATATTATTTATCTGTTATACCCAATATATGACATATGCGCATAAAATAAAAAAAAAAAATTATTATTTGTACTAATATTAATATTTTATATATTTCATACAAGTATTACAAAATATTTAAAATTTTCAATAATCGTTACAATACAATATATATATATAAAAAAAAAAAAAATGAATAAATATAATTTAAAAAAAAAATTGATTTATTTTTTAATGCAATTTTTTTTGTATTTAATATTTTATTGTAACATTAAAAGTGGTACAAAGATACTTATAGAATTTTGGCGTTCATGTTTTTCATTGAAGTACATACTTTAACATTCATGTATAATTGAGATTTAATAACATATTAAAATAGGTAGTAGTTGTTTAATAAGCGAACAAAATAATGATAATTTGATATATTATTAGATTTTTTTATTGATAAACTATTATAAGAAATAGTTCTATTTATGTTTATCATATATAAGTAATATTAAATAAAAAAATGATTTTGGAAATTACTTTAATGAGGAAAGATATTAGACAGAAAAAGTATATTATAGGAGTATTTTGTATTATAAAAAGAAAAAAAAGTTTGAATCATACGTATAGTCATTTATTAAAATGTAAAGGTAATAAAAATAAAATTTAAATAAGTGAGAAAACACATTTTTTTTATTTTTTTTACATTATATAAAAAATCCAGTATGTTGTGTATTTCATCAGCATATGTAAATATGTTGAGAATAAAATTGATGAGATCGTATATATTTTGGTTTATATAATTTTACACTGAGCTTACATTAAGTACGAGTATTTGTTCACTTTTCGTAATTTATAGATAAAGTTCTTTTTGTCAAAATGCAAGTATACACATATAATAATTAAACAGCTAATAAATAGAATGAATAATTTATGTATATTCAACAGTTATTATTCATTAAAAATAGAATGAATTATATCCTTACTTAGAAAATGTAAATTTTAATAAAAAGTCTACAAAATAAATTGGTAATTTTTAGCTAAGTACTCGGATACTCCCAATTAGGTAGTCTTATAAGTTTTCCGTAATAGTATATAACTCATGAGAAATCATCTCATTTATAAAATGCAATGTAATTTAATTTTAACAATCTCACATGGTTATTTCGTAAAATAATTTCGATGAATTTTATTACCAAATTATACTATGTTAGTTACTTCTAAATAGTGATTACTGATTACATATTAGGTACTATTAATTTTCCGAATTCAGATATTTTCTGGTTACTAATTTCCATTATAATAAAACTTTTTATTATTAATAAGCAATGCCTAATTAAAATAAGTAGTGTTAATTATATGGTGATTATAAACCATTATTATATTATTACAATATAACAATATCTGTACATAGTAATCATAGTATTAATAGTTATCAGTTATAATTATGATATAATATCATTGCTCAAATTAAATATATTATTGTAATTATTTCTGGAATATATAATTATAATATACAGGAGATGTTTGAATAGATTATGCGTTAACATCTTCAAGTATATCGTACGAATATGGGCGTTTTGAAGTTACAGTAGTTACTAGCTAGAGTACCTACTAAACAAAATTTAAATAAATCCCACGGAGTGCTTCGTCTATCCCCTATTCTTTTATAATTTTCATTCAATCAAAATTAACTAAATAAAAATAAAAATATTATTAATATTAATACATCACAGGTTGTTAAAAAATGTCATCTATAAATAATTTAAAAAATGTAAGCGTTACATTTTTTTCAGTATACCAAGGAATACATTTGCAGTAATCAAAGACCTCTCTCTCTTCTCTAGTCTCTACATGAGTTAGGCTACAGTTACGTCCAGGGTATAGGATTTAGTATCGTTCTCGACATTCATAAATATAATATCGCCTTCCTTCCCAAGATTTAAACCAAAAATAAATTTACCCACATTATTTGTTTTGGTTTAAGATCTAACACCCTTCAAACGAGGACGTAACTTACGTTGATGAGTAGGTGTGGGGTTAGATTAAGCAGTTCGTAATTACGTATATATATACAAACAAAACTAATTACAAAACTTCGAAGCGGTTTTTGGGACGGAATACCAGTGGTCTGCTCATCGGGGTTTTAAAACGCTGCGATTTTTACAGACTCGTTTACCGACTGTATAAAAATGAAAAATCGATTTGCGTTCGTATTCATGTAATATGTATATATTGTATGACATAACACACGCAGATGACAATCCGGAGATCACTGATGCTGGGTATAATTTATGATAACATTACAATACATTATTATGATTATGAGGGTAGTCCGGGTGCGCGTCACACACACACACACATACACACATACGCGCGCGCGGAAAAGAGGCGCCGCCAGTCACTCGCCGTCCGAAGGGTTCGCGTCAGAGTAGACTTTTCGGTGTTCCTCCACGCGCGCGCGCGCCCACGTGTGTGTGTGTGTGTCGATGCGCGGAGAGGGCGCACACACGTGAAATGCCCGAGTTACTTTGGGGGGCTCCGGTGGCGTCGTCGTCGTCGTTGCCGTTGCCGTTGCCGCCGCCGTTTAACGATTGGCGACAGCCCGGGATCGGCAGCAGCAAGCTTCCCCCGCCGCCGCGCGCACCGCCACCAACACCGAACACCTTTACGCGCGTACAAATCCCCTGCCACTACCTCCGCCGGCGCCACCGCCGACAACGCCGCCACCGCCGTAACCTCGCGCGCGGACACCGCTCGTAAAGCGGCGGCGGGAGGTGCGCGCGTCCATGGCGTATATTATGGTAAACTTTTATCAGCCACCACCGGCAGGGCGCCCCCACCGGCGGTCGGCGTCGTGGCGGCGTCACGCACCCGCACAAAGCGGAGTATCGCCGCGCAGTCGGGGAAGCGGCGCACGCGCGTCCACAGTACCCAGTGGAACGCGGTCGACGCTGAGCCGCGTCTCTGCCCGTGGCTCGTGCGTCGTCGTCGTACTCCGTCACCGTACACGCGCGACACGTTACATTTGTCGGCCGCGAGATAACGAGATAATACTGCACGCGCACACACACACACACACACACACACACACACACACACACACGCGCTCACACATATAATATTATATCGGCGAGATAACTGCCGTCGGTGGTGTGCTGCTGGCGGTGGCCGCGGTGGTGGTGCAGTATACGCGGAAACGGCACAGTCGTTGCCGTCCGTCGCGGTGCACTACGTAGCGCCGCGCGAAGGTACACGCATACTGTAAAATATACATCGCGCACACACGCGCCCGCGCGCGCTCGCACGGTTACACGGCACACACATTTCGTGCGTCGCGTTTCTCCTCCGTCTACACAGTACGATCGTTGCAGTCAGTCGTCGTCCGACGTGTGTGCGGCGTGTTCCGTCCGGAGCAACATTTAATGCCCGTGTACAATAAATAATAATATATTATATTTTTTTTAAGAACATAACCGACAAGACATGATATTATATTGTACAATACAATATCCATAATATTGTATTAAAGTACATTTTTATTTTTTTTTCGTCGTTCGTCGAACGCGTGTGCGAACCCATGGCGAACTGAACTCGCCGGCGATTTTGTGTTCCCCCCCGTTTCGTGTACCGGTCTGTCCGGTTAACCGCTGTCCCGGTGCCAGAGAATTTAGACGAAATATTATTATTATGATAGTGTGGTAAACGGCGGTGCGCGAGTGTTGCTGTTACCGCTGGTGTTGCCTGTTGTTATTGTTGCTGTGCAACGTGCGACGTATACGCGCGACCGACGACATGAAGAAGTTCACGTTCAAAGGTGTTTTGGACGGCATACGGTCCTCGGTGGCGCCCCAGATCAAACCCGATCAGGATATCGTCGAGACGCTCCGGCCCGAATACTTCCAAGTGGCCAAGGTGAGCTCGATCTACGGCAGTATCCGCCGATCTATAAATAACACAATATTTGAAATATTAATAGTATAATAATAGTAATATTAATAATAATTATGATCATATAATTAATGATAAAAACAATAACAATTGCGTACCTATCGCGTAATATTGTGCACTGACTGATGCAGTACGACCGTATAGCGATGTCGTTCAAACAGTGGCGGGGTTACCGTATAGCGATTCCCGCGCGGCTCGGTATCGTTGGCGCTCGCTCGTCACAAGGTGGGGGTAAACGCGAGGTTATCGCGTGGCCACAGTCGCCTATATTCGTGCGTTGTGTTTAATAGTAATAATAATAATAATATTGTTATTTAATGGCCTACTCTATTCGCTGTGTTCCACTCACCGGTGATAATGTTGGTCGCGCGCGCGCCCGCTTATCGGACCGCATTCAAAGCGACGACGGTGGCCTACCTATACAATAACAATACGGCGGCGGCGGTAGCACTCGTCGGCCGCGGCAGCGGTTCAACATGTGCGACCATATGGATGTCAGTCAAACAGACCTCTGCCGCCGCCGCCCACCGTATGCAGCTCGTCACATGAACCAGCAATAATGTGTTGATGTAGACGCGGTGCGTATTGAAATTACGCGTCTTTTTACGATAAAATATGGACACACGTGCAGTAGTGTGCAAACACAGTAAACATTACCTGCCGGTGTACGCTCGTAGTCGTCATTATAAATTGGTTTATAATAAATGGTTTTTTTTTCGCATACTCAATAACGGCATACTGCTGCAGCGATTACTGTACAAAATATACGTTTGTATGTGTGTGTGTTATACGGGAGTGTACGCAGCCTGTAACATATTATAGACATTTTTTAACATATTTTTTGTTGTTTCACTATAATTCCGTCTACGTAGGTAGGTAGGTAGGTAGGTAGGTATACTTACAATGATTTTGGGATAGGAGGTGATCTACACTTGTACAGTTGTTCGTATTGGTTCGGGATCTGAGATCTAACGACTAAACCAATTTTTTTTTTTTTAAAAAACGTCAAACAGTCCCTCCTGTTTTTCCGTTAATTAATTAATTGTTTACCTAACACATTGTAGCTGTATGTATTGCTTTGATCGAATCGATTATCGTTTTATATTCACGAAATGCGATGTGTATTTTTGGCATATTTGTATTATTATCATTCTGTATCGTGGACGCTGTATGGCAAATTTCATACGTAAAATAAGATAATTTATACGTGTGTTTTGTATTTGGTTCTCGTGGTTAGTCGCACATGGCATGGTTTCAAATAACGAGTTACATCAAATTAAATAGTTGTTTTTTCTTTTAACATATTATTGACGATCAATAACGTAGGCTAATGTAATAGATAATATATACATTACGTTATTAAGGTTCCTTACGCGAACTTAAAATAATATGACTTGGTAGGTTTATACATTGATTTTTAAATCATAATGTTCTTATAACTAAAAACTTGCAAGTAGACGATTTATTTTTTGGGTTTTATAAAATGTCCGGTTCAGAAAAGACCTATTTTGAAATTATTAATATTTTGATTATGCAAACCCATAAACTTGAATACGTGGTTGTCTGAGAACTGGAATAAATAATATAAAATGAAAAATTTAAAAAAAATTACCACTTATTATAAATTGTTTTGTTAAAAAACCGTAAGTGTAACCTATTGGTCATACTGTAAATTGTGTAGATGTACGTGTACTTTACGCATACGTTGGTTTTATTTATTGTTTGCTTTATACATAGCTCTAATGGTTCTTTGATAGTATTTTAATTTATAAGCAAAATAATATGAAAGTAAACTGTAAATTCAACGTAATGGAAAATCGATTGAATTCTGTTGCGTAAAAGAATTTAATAAAATGTTAAAAAAGGTTTTTATTTCAACAAAATATTGTGAAAAGATAGAAGAGTTAAGCTAGTTATAAAAATAATGTTGCTGCTTGTTGTGGGTATACCACAGTGATTTATTAGTAATACAATATTAAAACATATTAATTATATTTTGTAAACAAATAATACTTGTAATACTTGGACACTTAATGGCTGATAACAGTGATAACTGACATACTTGCGTAAAATTATTTTAGATAGGTAATGTAGGTACTAGGCAGTAGGATATATTAACTATAGTCATATGTTTATTTAATTAAAATTTAAACATCAATAAACATTCAAGATTTAACTTGTAATATTTTATATTCATTGAAATTTAAAAGTTGTTAGATGTATTATTATATAATAAAAACAGTTGTGTGTTATTGTAGGTGTGTTGCACAATGCAATGTATACTATATATTTATATTCATTATTTCAGAAATGACCTTCATACATAGAATGCTAATAATTTTATTTTGTTCATTCAAATTGCTTTGATAGGATATTTTGTAGTTATCAAATCAACATATTTTTTGTTTTGAAATTTCATAGTATATTTTGTTGTTTCTAGTTAAGTTTGTATATTTGAGAAGTATGTAACTATTGACCAAAATTAATATTATTTTTTAAGTGACTGGAATTTATTATTTTAAACTATTTGAAATTAATCATTAAACTAAGAAATGTGAAAGTAATTTAAACCTATAGATGTTCTTGATTGTCTCAAAGGAAAATTAATTTATAGTGATTCACGTAAAAATGAAATAACATTTTCAAGGTTAAAGCAAAACAATATTATTGTAATAATAACGTATAATAATTTAAACTCCGATTGTTATCCATCGTCAACGTAATTGTCACAGGTATATGCACAGACTTTCGGAAACAACTCGTTATTGCTAAATCTCTAGGTGCCCAAATCAACGCGTGTTTTTAGTTAGTCAAATTCTAAATAAGTGTCTATTTTAATTTGCTTGTTTCAATTGCATTTTTCATAAATATATTTTAAGTTGTCAGTTTGAAAACGTCAATAAGTCTATTGCAAAAATACTATTAAAGCCTGTTAGGACTTTGATATATTGTTCGTTTTTGAATTTCTCGTAGGTAAACTGGAGAGGGTTTCCTCCTTTCCAACGGGTATCGCACAGTCTAAAAAGCATCGCCTTGGAATGTCGATTTCATGTTAAACAAAAAATTGCATACATATTATACATAATGGAAAACACGCCTTAAAAAACAACATAATGATATCTTTTTTGTAATTTTATAGTTGTAAAAATATATAATTATTCAAATGTCAGTTTTATACTGCGTATCTCATTTTTTAAAGTATAATTAATTCATTTTATTTTTTGAGAAGTATAATTATTCATAACCGTTTTAGGATATTATTTCTTAAGTTTTATATCCTGGATGTATACTACCATTTGTTTTGTTAGTTTCCTAGAGGATTAACTCCCCTTAGTTGTGTCCTTAACGTTTCTAACTTAAGTCTTCTTTAGTGTAAGACTATTAATTTATACATCTTACATCAAATATATGATCAGTTAATAAAAAAATAAATATACAATTTTAATATAATAAGTAAATTGTATTGTAGAGAAATCCATGATTATATTATTATTAAAGATTTTTATTTATATCGCTTAATAAATCTGGATTACTATACTTACACTTATTATGACATGTTCAACCACAGTAAAAAGCTACAGAGAATTTCTGTATTTTTCTTTTGTATTTAATTTATTTTATATTGAAAGAAATTTTCTGTTTTGAATACAACACTTATACAAAACCTGAAAAATATATTTAAAATGTCTCAAGATGGGTAATAATTAATTTTATTTTTAATTCTTTAATTATAAATAAGAGTTTAGTTAAACATATTTTTAATAGTAAAATAAATTTAAAATTGAGTATCAATAATGATGATTTTAGATACTTGAAAATTTGAAGTAAAATATTAAAAAGATACCTCGATACTTTAAAATTATGAAAACTCAATTAATTTTATTTTAATTAAAAAAAAATGGACTACTAATAGGTGTTATAATAAGTTATAACTAATTTATAAGTTTCATTATAGTACTAATGGGGGAGAATATTTTGTGATGTTTATTACGTGTATGTGTCATACTATCGTTTACTTTATTTTTAAATTGAAGCTTGTTGAATCTGAAATTGCTAAGTCTTGATAGCAAGAGCACATTTAATTTAATTTATTTTTTGAAATTAAATGCTTTTTTAAAATTTTATAGCAATAAAAAATAAAATTATTAAATTGTTACAATATGGTTGAAATATTCAAACATTCGCTTCATTATCATAGATGATTAATGAATTAATGAATAGTACCTGAAGAGTGGGACTAGAGTTTTGCATTAATTTTAATTGTTAAAGGAATTATGTATAGTCCACTAGTGTAGAAGTGCTCGTTTGTTATAGTTATAATATTAGTGTAGGTAGTAATTGTATGTGATTGAGAGATAACTAATTGCTATATTTTACAATATGATATTTCTTTAATTTTTTTAAATTTTTATATTTATGATTAAAACTGTGACTTTTATATCATTTTTTTTATTGTTTTATAATTTATTAATAACAAATGATTGTGGACGAAAATATAGTAATAATTGTAAACAATAATAACAATGTGAGTACAAAATGTAAATAAAATCTACCCATAGGCGTGCGGAGATTTCAATTTCTGATCGAGCCTGGAACAATTATAATGCTTCTAATGCTCCAATACTTGGACAGTGCCCCTATTTTTTTTTTTAACACATAATGTACATTCTAATTGTAAATTAAAAACTGTGTAAATAGAATCAAGTTGTATGTATACATAACATTCATTTATAAACATATATAGATATTTTTGAAGTTAAAAATAAAATTATATGAATACAATTATGCATAAAAAGAATAAAACACAATATCCAAATTTAAAAAAAAAAACTTGATTTAATAAACAAAAAATTATATAAACTTAATTATGTGATAATTTTAATTAAAGAATTATGAGTATAAATGAATTCTCTTATTTCCATACTATTTTGAATATTAGTATTTGATGTTAGTTTTGGTTCAGT